ACCAGGGGCTGCACCTAGGGATTGGGCGTGCCCTCTGCTAAGCCAGCAGGTCGTTATCTCCTGAGGAGTCCCAGACTGCGAGAGGACAAAGCCCAGGCTGGGGTACCCCCCTCCCTGCCGAGTGCACAAATTTTTGTGCCCCGGGCCTCTAGTATTTAAATAATTGCTTAGCTTCTAAAAATATCCTAACAGGCAATACAAACAAAGATTTAAAAACATCTTGGACCCTAATATTTAATAATATAGTATTCCACTTGCTGCAGGTTTACCAAAGTGATTAACAAAAATTTTCAAAACTATTTTGATTTATTGATTGCTTTCTTATTGGCTTCCTACCTTTCTAATGTCTCATGTTGGTTTGATATTCTCAGAGTATCCTCCTGAAATGATTTATGCCTCAGTCAACTACATTTGCTCAAGATCTTTGCCTTCCATTCTCATTCACTGGTGTGAGAATTCCCTGAATGATAATTTGTCAAAAAATAACAAAAGCTTTTGAAATCTGCATATCTTTAGCCACAGAAATTTCTAGAAATTCATCATGGATGTGTGCACATAATTAGCTACAAGGAATATGGTTTTATTTGCAATATTTAAAAATTGAAATAATTTCTAATGAATACTACTAGGGAGCTGAATAAATAAAATGCAGTATGATCTATACCAGTGGTCGGCAAACTCATTAGTCAACAGAGCCAAATATCAACAGTACAACAATTGAAATTCCTTTTGAGAGCCAAATTTTTTAAACTTAAACTATATAGGTAGGTACATTGTTATTAACTTAATTAGGGTACTCCTAAGGCTTGCGAAGAGCCACACTCAAGGGGTCCAAGAGCCGCCTGTGGCTCGCGAGCCGCAGTTTGCCGACCACTGATGTATACAATAGAATACTACTAAAGAAGTTAACTTAGACGGACACTGCCTGGCACAGTCAGTGCTCAATAAATAATTACTTAATCTATAGATAAATATTCAAGGAGATTTGCAATTTTAGACAAAGCTGCTCAACATGGCTTTATCCAATCTTTGTTAATTCTTTTTTACACATTTAACAATATAGTTAACATATACAGATCCTTGTTATGGGCAAGAGACTATTCTAAATGCCTTACATATAGTAATGCACTTACTCTTCATAACATCCCAATGAGAGACAATAATATCATTATTCCCACTCTATAGGCTAAAAACAAACAAACAAAAAAACCGAAGCATAAGCAAAGTAAGTACCTTGGCAAAAGTCTTAGAGCTAAGTCAGTGACAAGACAAAGATTCAAAGCTAGTAAATCTAGCTCGAGTCTGTGCTCTTAACCAGAAAATATACTTGCCTCATATATTCTACTATATCTATTGAAAAGTCTGAATAATTTGAAAGTGGTTATTTCTGCTTATCAGATTATTACCATTATTTTTATAATAAATGTGAATCATTGTGTCATTCTTTCTTAACTGAAAAAAATTTTTTGATTGCAGAATGAGAATGAGCTAGAGATAAGAACACTGTGAGGTCTTATGACTGAGAATAGCTAACACAGCCGCAAGGTAGGAGTTCTGATATCCCAGGGCTCTACATCTTTAGATGTCTCTGAATTGACAAGGAATCTGGGCAATGACTTCTTCTGAACCTTGATATCTTATAGGGTAGAAGAGCAATATTGTCGTAATCCATCAATGTTGTTCTCTTGCTCTTGCCCATTCTAAGTCATGTTCCTCGTGTCTATTTTCTTCTTTAAGACTAGCACAAAATTTTTATGTTTCTGTCCTCTGCCTTTCACTGGCAGAAGATTGAAATCAATATTTTAAGATATTTCTGTGATATAGTGAGCTCAGCTAGTACTCTTAAAATATAGCCTCATATAGTGCTTCTTGACCCTAGCTACTGTATTTTTTTAAAACTCCACAAGTGATTATGATGCAGAGCCTGGGTTGAGAGTTTCTCCAGAATATGTATTATAGCATAACTTATCAATCCATTTAAGGT